CATGGCCAGCACAGGCCAAGGTGCTGTGGGACCCCAGGGGAGCAAGGAAGGGAGGGAAAGAGAGCAGTGGGGAGAGAAAGGAAGGAGGAGGGCTATTTTTTGACAGAAATTTGGGGCATGGAGGGGGATTTGCAATCAGTCTTAAGGGGCAGAGAGGAGAAAGACAGGACATTCCAGCTGGGTGTGGTGGCTCTCGCCTGTAATCCCAGCACTTTGGGAGGCTGAGGCGGGCAGATCACCTGAGGTCAGGAGTTCAAGACCAGCCTAACCAACGTGGAGAAACTCTGTCGCTACTAAAAATACAAAATTAGCCAGGCACAGTAGCACGTGCCTGTAATCCCAGCTACTCAGGAGGCTGAGGCAGGAGAATCACTTGAACCCAGGAGGCAGAGGTTGTGGTGAGCTGAGACCATGCCATACACTCCAGCCTGGGCAACAAGAGCAGAAAAAAAAAAAAAAAAAAAAAAAAAAAGACGGGACTTCCAAGCAGGGGGAATGGCAGGAGCAAAGGCCCAGAGCTGTGAAGGGTGAGGTTATCCTGGGGATGTGGGAAAGCTCAGGGTGGCTGGCGTGGATGAGCATGGAGGGGAAGGGGCAGAAGAGCTGGGGATGGATTTCCCTGCAGCGAGTGTCTTCCTGCCAGGGCAGGGTGACAGGGGGCTCTCATCATATCCCATCATAGGAGGCAGGCAACTGGGGCTGGGGAGGTTTATTTGTCTGCTCTGCCCACCCCTCCTGTGCTATTCCTGGACTCTACCAAGACCTCTCCTCTCACTTGCTCCTGGGGCACAGCATGGGTTCCCAACTCCAGGTCTGGCCTCCAACCACCCAAGCTGGGCATCACAGGAGGATGGGAATCACCATCAGACACTGCTTCCTCTGAACCTCAGTCCACAACCAGTCCGTTGATTATACCTTCTAGGTGTCTCTGGAATCCCTCCCCTGGCCTATCCCTGTGTATGCCTCCCTGCTCCCCACACAGACACCTGAGGCCTCACTGGCCCTCCCACCTCCACCTGAGGGCCCTCAGAGCATCCTCCACAATCGGACCGCAGCGTTCCTCACACAGCCCGAGCCTGGCTCAGGCCCCACTGCCCAGGATGAAGCCCAGGCTCCTCAGCTCAGCTCAGGCCCACGGAGCAGCACCCTTCCCCCTCCCTGCACCTGAGCCAGTGGACTGAGTTTCTTTCAGTTCCTGAACACAAGACACTCTCTTGTGCACGAAGTTCCCCCTGCCCCAAACACTTCCCTACTCTAGGAGACGGGGCTAACCCTCCCAGTACACCAGCTCAGGCACGCCTTCCCCGCACCCAGGGTTTCCCTAGGCCTCCAAAATAATCACCCTGGGTGGTCTGGGTGCCTCTGTTCTTGTCTGTTCCCCCACAAGCCTGGGGGCCCTTCAAGGGAGGAGAGAACCAGGTCTGACATGCTTATGACCCCAGAGCAGGTAGCAGGGCCGCTTTGTTGACTGAATACCTAATCAGGGCACTCCGGACAAGACTGTTTGGTGTGGAATAGATGAGAGAGCACAGGCCTGGGGGTGTGAGTGGGGCAGTGTCGGCTGTGTCTTCAGCCCCTTGGCCTGAATAACTCCCCTACTCTTCCTGAAGGAATCAGTTAAGATTAAAGCAGCCTTCAAAAGGTAAATGTACTACGGAAGTGCAAGAGTCGGCTATCATAGTCTGTCTCCTTAGGCGTCTCTGGCCGGGAAGTTCCTCCAGGCATCTGACCTATATCTGTCTCTACAGAGAAGCTGGTTTTGACACTGCCTTTTGCAGACACAGTCTTCAGGGGACCCTGTGGGGAAGGCCAGAGAACAGTCTTCTGTCCTACCAAGTCCTTAATTGGCAGTATTAGAGTAATGAGTCACAGACAACAACCAATTAATTATCCCCAGTTATAAAAAGCTCTGCTTCCCCTTCCTGGCTGTGGAGTGAGCCTGGCCTCCTGCTGCCAGGCTCCTCCACTCCTCGGAACTGGGGGCAAGAGAAGAGGCCATTTCACCTCTCTGGTCCTGGTTTTCTGCTTATTTATTTGTTAAGTGTGTGTCCTGGGGGGCTGGGGGGCAAAGGAAGAGGTGGGGATGTGTTAGGCTGGGTGGGGAGGAAGGAGGGAGACCAGTGTGGATGGAGAGGAAGCGGACCTTCCCAGGCTCTCTCCACCCAGCCTCTCCACTCCCTAGGATCCACCTCAGGGGCCAGGGCTGCACCAAAACCAGGGAAACACTGAGGGTTCCAAGCCTGGCATTCAAGGCCACTCCCCATCTTGTCCCAAATGTTCCTGGTCCAGTGCTCTTTCTTATCCATTAGGCGACTTCCCAAGTCCCCCTGCCTTTCTTCTTCCAGCAAACTCTCATTTAAACCCACATCCTCAACACACGTTGCCTTCCCTAGTCTCCAGCAGCTTAGGCTGCAGAGCTGTCATCAGCCTGTGTGACTGATTTCTCCATCTGCAAAACGGGCACACAATTAAACATGCCCCATGGAGATGTGACAATAATGACTAGGGCAATGCATGTAAACCATTTGCACCCTGCATACAGTAGGTACTCAATAAATGTTAACAGATACTATTACTTTCACACATCATTTTCCAGCCTGAGGATGAGAATAAAATGCCTCGTGACTCTCCCACCTGTCAACCCATTTCACAGGTAAGACCCAGAGAGATGGGGTTTCACAGGAGTTGAACCAGGCTTCTCTGAGCTGGGAGATAGAGAGGGAGAGTCCTCCCCTGGGGCAGGTGTGGTGAGAATAAGGAGAGGCACCAGGCTCACTGGCAGAGGCCTCTCTACCACCCCTCAGCCCAGGCAGCTCTCCTCTCCCTGCCAGCACCCTCGGAGCTCAGGCAAGGCCTCTATTTGTTCAGAGAAATTTCTGGAGCCCCTACCCTGCACCAGCCCTGTCTTTGAGATACCAGATCACTATTCCTTTGTTTTTGACAGGCTGGTGAGTCCAGCCCCACCGCTGCCCTCACACAGCTGCCTCAGGGAAGAATGAGGAGAGAAAAGAGAAATAGGGAGAGAAAGAAAGGATGAGGGGCAGACGCTGGGAACCAGGAAGTGGGAGACGGGGGCAGAGCAAAGTAAGCGATTGCAGGGAGAAAGGGGCGGGGGAGGAGAGGATGCTCATCTTCAGCTGTGAATCTGGGGTCACCTGAGGTGAGCTCAGCCCTTCCTGCAGAGGCACTGCCACCCAGAGCTGCTGCAAAGCCCTATACCAACCATTTCTAAGCTTGGCTCATGGCCTCCTGCTGACCCTCCAGCAGGACGGTCCAGATCGTAGCCTTGCAGGGCACGTTTTGCTCTGGTTCTTAGTCAGCTCCAAACCAGCCTCGGCCCACTTCCTCCACTCTGGGCCCTGTGCTGGCCACAGCCGAGACCCTTCACTTTCTGACTCCACCGCCTATGACTGGCCAGCCCTGGGCCCACCAAAGGCATGAGGCTCCTGGGAGATGCGCCTTCCCCAGCATCTGCCCTGATGGCCACGGGCTTCCTGCTTGGGAGCTCGGCCATCCTTCTCGCTTTAGCCTCAGCTGTCTCACCACCCATTCCCACCAGGGGCTGCTGGGCCTCTATGCCCAGGTCCAGATCCAGAACAGAGGGTGGAGGAAGGCAGAGTGGCCACGGAATTCTGAAGCCAAGATCGGAACCTAGCTCCCATTTCAGAGATGGAGAAGCTGAGGCTTGGGCATCTGGAATGGCATATCTCAATGGCTTAGTGACAGCTGGCACCGCGCTGCTCACATCACAGCCCTCATTGCATGTCGTGGCCCAGCGGCTCCTTGAGAGGGGTGTGTTTCCCCTCCAGTTCACAGGTGAGGGAGCTCACAGGCAACTAGATTCAAGTAGAGGATGCACTCCCAAAACCTGAATCCATCTGACTCCAGAGCCCACGGCCTGTGCCCCTCCACATTAGAGGGAAAGCTGTGAGAGTATCTCACATGGCTTCCCAGCAGGGGCCTGAAGTAGAGAGACCAGGGCTTTAGTCTTGGCATTGCCAAGGCCCTGCTCTATGGACTTGGGTAGGCCTTTCCCTCTCCTTTGCCTCAGTTTGGCCACTTGACTCCTCTGTGGCTGGGAATGGGGACATGGCAATGAATCAGGCCTGGTGCCCACCCTGGCAGTTCCTGTTTTTCACTGTTTGGGGGTCATGAACCCAGGCTCCCCAGTCTACACTTATCCCTCACCAGCACAGGCAGAGGAGAGCAGACAGGTGGATAAGCTTCCCTGACCTCCCCAGACAGATAGCCAGGCCTACTGGGCCTCTGACATCAATCACAACCACAACCCCTAAACCCTGCCACCCCCGGCCACTCCAGCCTCTTCTGGGGCTGGTGGAATTTAGAGGCTGGCTTCTTTGTTCAGACAAGCAGGAAGGAGGAGGAAAGTTGTTCTCCAGACAGTAAAGCTTTTAGATAAACACCACACAGGAATTGGTTCCTTCAGAGAAGAAACTAGATCCACTGGCTGACAGCGCTCCAGGGACAGGAGTGCAGCTTAGGTCTGGCCCAGGGAGCCCGGCACTGAAGGAGGCTTTCTTCATCCGGCTATGCACCTGCCGCCAGCTTGACAGGCCTGTGGCTCAGGTGACTGAGTCCCAGTGCCAGGCTGTAACCCTGCCAGCTCCCAGGCTCCAGGATGGCCGGGCCCACCTCCTAACCCTCTCCTCTACCACCCGCCTGTTTGCCTGCCTGCCTTTTGGGATCTGCCAGGAAGCTGAGGACTTCCGCTCACCTTGGGGTGACCCTTTCCTTCTGGAGCAGCCTAACCTCAACAATATCAGAGGAGTGTTAACAACTCGTCAACAGGATGAACTCCTTCCCTGCCCTCCTGGCTGTCAGATTTAGGAATTACTATGAGGCCATTTGACAGAAGAAACTGAAACCCAGAAAGGCCATTGGCCTGTCCAGAGCAGAGACAGAGCTAAGAGTTCTCCCCCAGCCCCTCTGGCTTGCTAGGGCCCACTGGGTCCCTCCGACCCCGTTCTAGTGTGGCTCACCGGCGTGGTATCATCATGCGAACGCTGGTAGCGCTTCCAACGGCAGCCATAGATGCCCGTGAGGCAGGAGAGGCACAGCTGTGGCTCATAGTACTGCAGGGGCTGGTGTCTCACCATACTCGTGCCCACGGCCCTGGCGCCTGACCCTCAGGCGCCCATGGAGGCCCCCAGCTGGTCCTGCAGGAGGAAGCATAGGGCAGTGAGGCTGAGGAAGGGTGGGGAGTCAGGTACTACACAGCAAGTCATTGTAGCCTAGGTCAGGGAGGGTTTCCTCTGCACTGCAGTGGGGCTCCATCTCACTTGGAGTCACAGGCCCACCTTTGCAGATCCCCAAGGATTTGTCCCCTGCCTCCCACCCAGGACCTCATCCTCCCTACTCCTTCTCCTCTGGCCACACTGATTTCTTCCATATTCTTCGCTGGCCTGGCATGCTGTTGTTCCCACCTGGAATGCTCTTCCCTTAGAAACCTGCATGGCTCTTTCCCCTCCTCTCTTCAGGTCTCAAATGTCCTTTTTTTTTTTTTTTTTTTTTTTTGATATACTCTTGCTCTGCCACCCAGGCTGGAGTACGGTGGCTAGAGTGCAGTGGCACCATCTCAGCTTACCACAACCTCCGCCTCCCGGGTTCAAGCAATGCTCCTGCCTCAGCCTCCCAAGTAGCTGAGATTACAGGGGCCCACCACCACGTCTGGCTAATTTTTGCATTTTTGTAGAGACAGGGTTTTGCCATGTAGGCCAGGCTGGTCTCGAACTCCTGACCTCAGGTGATCCACCCACTTCAGCCTCCCAAAGTGATGGTATGACAGGCATGAGCCATGGCGCCCGGCCACATGTCCTTTTCTCAATGAGACTGTCCCAGATCACCTTCTGTAAAACCGTACCCCTTTCCCACATTCCCTAAGCTCCTTCCCATATTCTCAGCTTTGTTTTCTCAATCATGTCCTTAAATATAACTTACTTATTTTTCCTGTCTGTCTGCCCTACTATAATGCAGTTTTCATGAAGGCAAGGATTTTTGTCTGTTGTATTTTCTGCTGTATTCCCAGTAACTGGAACAGTGTCTAGCACGTGGCAGACTTTCAAAATAAACATTTTAGAAGAAATTATCATAAAAGCTGAGATGTGTTGGGCATTTAAAATACATCTGGCACCATTTAAATACTTTACATTCATTGTCCCATCTCATTAGCACAGCCATCAGAAGTGGCAGGTTCTGTGTCCTAAACCCATCTGACAGTTCAATAAACTAAGGCTCAAGGAACAATGGGCAATGCCTGGCTGCTGTCCCATAACTGCACTGAGCTCGATCTAGGAACTGCTCTAGTGCCCCAAAGTATTCATTCTCCAGACACAGGGAGCTCCCCGCAGCCTGGTGGGGCCTGTGGGAGGATGGTGCCGCAGCCAGGAGCTACTGCCCCAGCCCTGCTTGGTACCCTGGAGATATCTGTGGGAGCCTCAGCCTCCGGGGGCCAGTTTTGGTTGAGTGTGACAGGTGGCAATGGGCTTGGGGCACCTCACACACCCTGAGTATCAGGTGTCATCCAGTCCCCCACACCACTGTGAAGTAGTTATTTTGTTCCATTTTGCTGATGAAGAACCTGGGGCTCAGAGCAGAAAAACAATTTGCACAAAGGTGCACAGCTATACTGAGGTGTCAGGACCCCAGCCGTGGCCTGTGGGGCTCCAGAAACTCAGTCGTATGTTCTATACCAGGCCCTGTCTGAGGCCCTGGAGACAATGTGAGCAGTACACACAAAGGCCCCCAGGACCAGAGAGGGGAACAACCAGGCATTGTTCCTGGTGCTTTCCATGCATAAACTAGAACAGCAGCCCTAGGAAGGAAGTATTAGCATTTTAGAAACAGAGATATAATTCACATGCCGTACAATTTACCCTTTTAAATTATGCAATTCAATATTTAATATACAGTCTTCAATTTCTGGTATATTCACAAGTTGTACAATCATCACCACTATCTAATCCCAAAAGAGTCTCACCATCCCAGCAGCACCCCCACCCTCGTTCTCATGCACTGTCACTCCCCATTTACCCTGGCCTCACCCCTCTGGCCCTGGCAACCACTCATCTACTTTCTGTCTCTATGGACTTGCCTATTCTAGAGACTTCGTATCAATGGAATCATACAATATGTGGCCATTTGTGTCTCGTTTCTTTTATGCATCGTTTTCAAGGCTCATCCATGTTGTAGCCGGAATCAGCATTTCACTCCTTTTTATGCCTAACATTCGGTTGTATGGATCTAACACATTTTGTTTATCTACTGATCAGCTGATGGACATATGGGTTGTTATCACTTTTGGGTTGTTATATATAATGCTTCTGTGAATGAGTTTTTTTGTGTGTGAACATATGTTTTCATTTCTTTTGGGTACACACTTTAGGATCGAATTGCTGGGTCACAGCACTTTGGGAGGCCAAGGCAGGCAATCACTTGAGGTCAGGAGTTAGAGACCAGCCTGGCCAACATGGTGAAACCCCATCTCTACTAAAAATACAAAAAATAGCTGGGCTTGGTAGTGTGCACCGGTAATCCCAGCTACTTGGAGGGCTGAGTCAGGAAAATTGCTTGAACCTGGGAGGCAGAGGTTGTCAAGATCACACTGCTGTGCTCCAGCCAAGGTGACAGAGCGAGACTGCATCTCAAAAAGAAAGAATTGCTGTGTCATATGGTAACTTTTTTTTTTTTTTTTGAGATAAGGTCTTTCTCTCTTGCTCAAGCTGGTGTGCAGTAGTGCAATCATAGTTCACAGTAACCTCAGACTCCCAGGCTCAAGAGATCCTCCTGAGTTGCTGGGACTACAGGTGTGTGCCACCACACCTAGATCATATGGTAATTTTTATGTTTAACCTTTTGAGGAACTGCCAAACTATTTTCCAATGGGATTGCACTATGTTATATCCCCAGAGTATCATCATCATCATGATCATTCCCATTTTACAGATGAGAACTCTGAAGCATAGAAAGGTTGAGCCGCTTACCAAAGGTCACCCAGAAGAGCCAGGATTCACACCCAGGCAGGCTGGCTCCAGGGGCCCTGCTCTAACCCACCGGCCTGCCAAATCCGATCTGCTGCCTATTTTTGCACAGCCCGAAAGCTAAGAATAGCCTTTATGTTTTTAAATGGTGGTGAAAAGAGTCAAAACAAAAATATCTTGTGACACATGAAAATTATATGAAAGTCAAATTTCAGTGTCCATAAATAAAGTTTCATTGGACACAGCCATGTTCATTCATTTATGTATCGTCTACGGCTGTTTTAGCTGTTGTAACTGCAGTATTGAGTAGTTGCCACGGAGACCATATGGCTTGCAAAGCCTCAAATACTGACGGTCTGGCCCTTTAGAGGGAAAGTTTGCAGACTCCTGCAGTCACCATGCTCTGATGGCTCACGAGCCTTATGGTAACTGCAGTGTATGATGGAGGGAGGAAAGGGAGCCTGTGGGCACCGACCCCTGTGCAGGTGCCAAGTATGCTTCCCGGAGTCAGCACTGAGCCGAGGCCTGTAAGATGAACTCCTAAGACGCTGCCACTCCCCAAAGGTCCAGCGGTGGCACTGCACCGTGTAAGAGCTTGCTGAGCTTCAGGCTCACTCACTACTTCCACCACTAGGCCTCACTCAGGGCCTCTGCCTGTCCCTCCAATACCACTACCCAAGGCTGACCTCACCTCGGTGCAGAGATTACAGCCTCCAGTCTGAGGGGAAGATGCATTAGGGGATTGCTTGGAATACTGAATAACCCGAAGTCTCTTGAGTGCTGGGAATTGTCTGGTGCAGCCTCTGTCCGGGGGAGCCCTGGGGAGGCATGTGGACTAAGGTGCAGCTGCTGGGGCTTCCCTGAGCCAGGGCCTTGGGGAGAGGCTGGGGTGGGGACACAGCTTGGCTCCCATGGGGCTGGGGAGGCCGTGGGTGGGGGCTGCTATGGGGTGCTCTTGCTCCAGAAGATTTGGGGAGCATTGTGTGCCCACATAGGCACTCCCACATTTACAGCCTTCCCGCAGGGGTGGTAGGCCAGGGTCCACAGCCAAGGGAGCCAGATCTCACCCTGTGCACTCCCCAGACTGGAGTCTCTACTGTCATGTCAGCTCCCACATCTGCCCTTGCCTCCCCAGGAATGGAGGAGCCAGGTGCAATGTGGAAAGAAGCCCAGGTTTGTGCTGCCTTGCCTGGCACTGATGTGCTCTGTGGCTGGGGTCACTCAGGCTCTTCCCTGAGCCTTGGGTAACAGCTTCTGCCTTGACTTCTCTATAGGATGCACAACTCGGGGCAGGGAAGGAAAAAGGTGCCAGGAGGTACTGCAATGCTGAGGTATAGCAGGTGGACATCCTGCACGTGGGAGCCTACCCCAGGTTACCCTTCCTTCACATTCCTTTCCTGGGACTCCCCTGCCACTGGGACTCATTCCCGAATGTCCTCTGTCTGCCCCTCCCCTGTCCCCACAACTGTGTATAACCCACCCAGGAATGGAAATTCCACCTCGAACCTGGGAAAGAGGGAACTAGAAGTTCATGCATCATGCCTCGGCCCAGGACTTCGCTGATTCTGGCTCTCAGAGTCTCCTCTCCCCCAGGTGCATTTCCTCCTGTTCATAACCGTAGGGGATTCTCTGGGAGGCAAATTTCTTCTCTTTCTTCTGTGTGCTCTCCTCTCCTGGCTGGGGCCATCTTGTCCACTCCCATACCTTCAGTTACCAGATGCTGCCAAGGCCACCCAGGCCCTGCCTCTGATTGAGGTAGCCCGCAGCTCCTGGACATCTCCAGGGGAGTCACCCAGGCCCTGCAGACCCAGTACAGCCACACTGCCCTCCTATCACCCCCAACCTGTTTCTAATACCCCTCAAGGCCCCTTTCTCACCATCCCCTCAGCCACTTCCCATTCCAGGCCTCATCTCCTCTGGCCGGGGACTCCTCCAGATTCCTTGCTGTCAGCCCCATCCCTCCAATCCAAGCTCTTACCTGCAGCCGGACTGAAATTCTTAACCGGCAATGGCCAGGATCTGACCCCTACTGCTCTTCCAGCCTGGCCTCCCTTCACCTGGTGAACACCTCCTGATCCTTCAAGTCTCAGAGGTTCCCTTCTCCACAGAGCCCCAGTTTGGTTAGAGGTCTCCCTAGCCTCCCATATCCCTGGCATGTCCCTCCCTCTTACCTGGGTACA